ATCAAAGCGAGGATGGGTGCTGTGGCTGTTCCCTCTCCCACCGTCCAGCCTGGAGCTGCTCCAGGGGGTCTGGGCCCCACACCAGCTCCCCCTCATACGTCCTTGGATCACTGCCATTCGAAGGTCCTGCATGACCCCGGAGGCCCCAGGAGCCGGGTCTTCAGGGAAAGTAGCCAGACCTCCCGATAGGAACCTGGAAGGATTCCGAGGTGCCACGCTGTGAGCTGCAGTGAGGGGCCAGCCTGAGGCGTGCATGCCCCCTCACGGGGCTGGTGGGCTCCCAGGGGTCCAGGACAGAGGGCAAAGCAGCTGCTCAAGACCAGCAGCCTGGGGGCAGGAATGTCTGCCTTCCGGGTCAGTTCTGCCAAGGCTATTGGAAACCCTGGGTGTGCCCCTCCCAGCCGACAGGGAAACCTAGTCTCAGCGAGGCGACCTGGTGCTACTTGTAGACAGTGATATTGGGCAGGGCGGTTGGTGGGTGTGGGACAGAAGGCCTGATGTGGCCAGCAGTGAGAGTGAGCACTTCCCCTGCCCTCGCTGCCAGGATACGGCCACAAGCTGCAGCAGTGGGATGCTGGGCCCTGGCTCTGGCTGCCATGCTGGGTCCCAGGAGCCATGCAGACACCAAGCCTTGGGCTGTTGAGTTGGAAGTGACTTCAGTGGGAGTGTAGACCTCTGTCCTTACAGGTGAGCTGCCTGGAGCTGAGAGCCAGCGAGGCACTAACCCAGGGTCACATAGTATTACTAACAGGACAGGCCCAGACCTGGGCCTCCTGGTGCCCACCTAAAACCGTCTGTGTGCCCTGAGCTCCTGACCCTGTCTGGTGGCCCAGAACAAGGACTGTCGGGCTTTTCCTCTGCACCTGGAGGCCCTCCAGCCCGCCCGGTTCCTGAGAAACCTAATGCTGCTGCCTTCTCAGGGCCCCGGGCTTCCGCCTGCTCTCACCCTCCTCGCGGTGGGAAGCCCCTGGGGTGGATTGTTTCCCATGACCAGGTGCTGCCTGCTCTGTGCAAACGAAGTGACCTGCCGTGGAAGGGATTGACCTCTGCCGAAAAAGGTGGCTGACTTCCAGGGAAATGGGAGCCGCCAGTGGGCTTCCTGTGGCGGAAGATGCTCGGAGCCAGACCGAGTTCTCAGAATCAGGGAGGCTCTCTTCATCCTCACCAGACGCCCTGCAAAGGGGAAGACCTCCAGTCTACCGCAGTCCCGGTTCCCTTGTTCTCCTTGGCTCAGTCCTACCCCTGCCCACTGCGCGAGTGTGAGTCTGTGCTCACGTGTGTTCCTCTGTGTGTGTCTGTGCGTGCTCATGGTGAAGAGATGCAGCAGGGTCCCGTGGGCATTCTCTCCCTGAGGGTCAGGGCCTGGGGCCTCCCTGGCATCGGGCGGGTGGCTCAGAGCACCTTCCATTAACACCGCTTGCGGGGCGCCCTTGTCCCCAGTGCAGCAGAGCCCACTGTGGGTTGCTGTCGCCTCTCAGTTCTCCCACACGCTTCTCTGCACAGAGGGATGACTTGGACTTTCCTTATAAATAGGATTTGGGGGAAGTTTTTACTTTGAAGGCAACACAAGTCTGTTAGGATTATATCTGACTGTGCTTTACAAAACGCATCTAGCATTTGTTTCAGCAGTTTAAGTATGAATGTCTCTTTGCAGATAAGAAGTGGGGGCGCATCCCGAGAGGCGAGGCCTCCATGACGCCTTCAGAGGTCGGACCTCTGCCACCCCCACGTGGCCTCTCTCTGCCTGCAGGCTTTTCTTTGTTTTTGTTTTTTAGATTTGATTTATTTTTTAGAGGGGGGGAAGGGAGAGAGAAAGAGGGGAAAAGAAACATCAGTGTGTGAGAGAAATATTGATCGGTTGCCTCTTGCACGCCCCCAACCTGGGGGTCTGGCCCACAACCCAAGCATGTGCCCTGACCTGGAACCAAACAGGCGGCCTTTCGGTTTGCGGGAGGACACCCAGCTCACAGAGCCACAGTGGTCAGGGCTGCCTGCAGGTTTCCCTGCCAGTTCGCAGACTCGTCCTCTGTGTGGTCATGCCAGTGTCACAGGCAGGTGTGAGCACCGGGGCTGATGGCTGTCGGAGAGCGCGGACACGCTGAGGCGTTCGAGGTACCGGCAGAGGCACCGCATTGGCGGAGCTCTCCGCCTTGAGGGGCGCGTGCCCTGGAGGGGACCTGCCTAGACTTCTGAGCACTGCCCCCCACTCTCTGGGACCCCTGTGGCTTCTCCTCTCACAACACCGATTTGTGGTAAGCAGTTAGCCTCCTGCTTCTGTCAGACCAGGCTGAGGGGCCAGCTGGTCAGGCTCAGCAGAATCCCAGGAGAAAGATTTGGACACCAACACAGAGCACCCCCAACTTTCACCAAAGGGAAGTGCCTGCTTTCCAGCAGAGGCAGCTGCCCCACCGTCACAGACGGGGCCTCAGCTTCACCCGACCTCAGCTGGCACAGCCGGAGGCCACCAGCTGTGAGGGGGGGACACGTGGCACTGCGCCGCTCTCCCACGATAAGGGTGACCTGGACCCATGGTGACGCCTGTGGGTGACGTCCTCTGCGACCCATCAGTGAGAAAGTAGCCTTTGGTGACCTCTGTCCAGCCAAGTGCAAGGGTCCTGAAGTTAAGGGTGCACAACTCTGTTCTGTCAGCAGTGAGAAGGACATCCTGGCGTCATCTTAGCACTACCAGCAAATGTGCAGAGGCTGGCCAAGGGCCAGCAGCCGGCAGGAGCCCACATCCCACTGGGGCCGTGTCGGGAGCTTGGGACAGCAGGAGCCTGTGCTGCAGCCTCTGCTTCCTTGTGGCCAACTGAGAGATGCTGCCCATGCTTGACTGCCCATCTGGCCCCAGTGTGGGGTTAAGGGGCAGAGGGAAAGGTCAGCGGTATGGTATGTCCAAACATCCCCTCCTCACATCATCCGTAAGTTACACCAAGGCCATGTCTGTTCTTACTGCATAAAAGCAAAACAAAACAACAAAAGCCAAAAACAATACCACACCAACAGCAAAAACCAAGAAGAAAAGAAAAAACAATGGGGAACTCACCCGAATTTGGGGTAGATGTGAGAAGACAAGTCTTCACCAGAAGGATTCCCGCCATCTCCAGGGGCGAGCGGGGACAGTCCGCCTTCCTCCCCTGGGTCCAGCGGCATGAGGACCCCACAGACAGCCCACCAGCTGCCAGCTCAGCGCCAGGGCCTTCTGCCCTGGGCCTTTGTCCGCTGCCCTCTTCTCGCCCGTCAGGGAGCTCCCACAACCAGGACACCCACCCCTCCAAGAGTTCTGGGGAGCTCTCCGCACCTGCCCCCTTCCTCTCCCCAATTCTCACCAGCCAGACCCAGGCGCAAGGCTGGGCAGGAAGGGGCCGGGGCTGCATCGGCAGGCCCACGCGGGCGCGGAGAGCAGCGCTGGCTGGAGGAGCTCTGTCTGGTCCCGCTCTTCTAGAAGCTCCCCTCTCACTTATTTCCTTGGCTTTTGTCTTCCCCTTTGGGGCAGAAGCACATAACAGCTTGTGGCACCAACTGCAATTGCAGCAGGATGCCTTCTTGCAGGCACCCCCAGCCCACTCACCTTGGGAGGGGAAATGAGGAGGGGCAGAGGCAGAATGTTGCGCCCTTCATCCTGTTGTCCCTTCCCACTCCTACTCCGAGTCCTCTGCTTGGAGCCAGGGCAACAGGACTGAGCAGGGGACTCAGGGGGCCTGTGTTGGGTGAAGCCATTCTGGCCCGAGCATCAGGAGTGGGTGGGAGCCTCGGTCAGCTTGGGCTGCTATACCAACACATCACAGCCTGGGAGATGTAGACAACGGATGTGTACGTCTCACCTTGTGGGGGCTGAGAAGTCCGAGATGGAGGTGCCTGCGGGTTCGGTGCATGGTGAAGGCCCGCTTCCAGCTGGCTGCCTTCTTGCTGCGAACTTGGGGAGCTTTCTCTCCTTCCTCTCATAAAGGCACCCCTCCCACCATGGGGCCCCACCCCATGGCTGCATCTAAACCTAATTATGTCCCCAGGGCCCCACCCCCTGATACCATTGTATTGGGGGTTAGGGCTTGAGTTTGGGGGAGACAGTCAGTCCACTGCAGTGGGGATGTTTCCCCAGTGTCCTCTGGCCACTGCACTGCTGGAACTGGGTTATTGGGGCGCAGGGAGGGAGCTTCAGGGTGCAGTGTGACAGAGTGAAAGGGCAACCCTAGCTCTCCAGCCCTTTGCAAACCAGGAGGATGGACATGAGGTGTGCTTTTGCGTGCAGTGGCCTCTGGCTTAAGAATCAGGGCCTCACTTCACTGCCCATTCTCTCTCCATGAGACCCTGGCAGGGGGCTCCTTCACCTCCCTGTCTTTGCACATTTAATCAGGTGTTTAAATAAATGATGACTGTGGCTTTCGCCAGGGCTGTAGTCCCTGGGCTTTGTGACCCAGAAGCCTGAACCTCAGACAGTGGTGGGTGGGCAGAGCAGGTGGGGGGCAGCAGCCAGGCAGGTCACACACCCCCACTCCGTGGTACCCTCTGACCTGGCAAACCCCAGGGCTCCATCAGGGTCCAGATGCTGTCCCTCCCACTCAGAGGGTCAGCGAGGAAGCTCGGGGGCCAGCTGCTGGTGGGGGTGGAGGAATGAGAAGGCACAAACTTGCCCCATAGAGAGAAGTGCACCCCCCCAATTCTGACTCTTCCACTCATGACCGGACCTGGCCTTCCTGTAAACATGCTTGAATGTTGCCTTCCTCTCTGGCCCTTGGAAGGGCCCCCCAACTTCACTGTGCTGCGGCCAAAACAGTCCTTTCAAGTCAGTCCATTGTGCTTTTCCTTCCTCATTTCCAGGTAGGCAGGTGGCCAGTTATCAGAGTTTCTGGTCTGTGTGTGGGCTCGGCTGGGCCTGCTCCCCAACCCTGCTCTTCCCCTGGGGTGGCACCTGTGGGGTGCCACTGCGAGGGGTGGGACCCGGGGAAGGTGTGCGCCGGCCCCTTCAGCCCACTGACCTTTCCCTTGTGTGTCCTCCACAGCCTGTGATTGCCACCCCGTGGGCGCTGCTGGCAAAACCTGCAACCAGACCACTGGCCAGTGTCCCTGCAAGGATGGCGTGACCGGCATCACCTGCAACCGCTGCGCCAAAGGCTACCAGCAGAGCCGCTCTCCCATCGCCCCCTGCATAAGTATGTGCAGGCCCCCGTTTCCCGAGGCTCTGGCTTGGGTGTGGGTGGAGGTCCCTTCCCAGAGGCTGGTCACTGACTTCCTTTGGGAGTGGTGCTGGAGGATGACAACCTCTGCGCTCAGTGGACCCTGTGGGAGACCCTGGAGCCCGTGGGGTTCTTGCAGCTAGAGCTCAGCAGAGCCAGCCTATGTGTGGCTGTCTGGCCCGACAAAAAAGTGAGTTTTCTTTTCAGTGGATGCAAGCCCTCTTTCTAGTCTGGGTCCTGTTTCCATATGCCACCTTGACCTTGGACCTTGGACCTTGGACCTTGGACCTGGGATGGACCCAGGGCCACCACTGCTGTGTGGGAATTCCAACACCCAGTGCCTCTGGCAGATTGAGGACAGAGAGGACTGGCCACACAGCCTTTGAGGGAAGCCGGGCAGGGTTCCCACGGCTCTTCGGGAGGATGGGCGCAACCCTGAGGGTCCTGAAGGCCCCACTGGGCCAGCCATTTACCCTGAGTTGCTGGAACTTGGAGAGGGGGTGAGTGAGGTGGCAGGGGACCCTCAGGGGCCTTGACTGAGACAGTGTTGATATCTTACACCTGGTAGGATCACACAGGTGTCAAGAGCAGAGACTTTTCCCCGGGCGGAAGTCAAGCCTGGTCTCGAGCTGGCCCTGGTCCCAGCCTGGTGATGCCGTGTGCAGGGCTGGTCCACCCCCAACAAGGGGGGCAGAAGGAGCCGACCCCAGTGCACCGGCCCGGTGGCCCCTGAGGGGGAGCCTGCTTTTCCAGAGCAGAGTCAGTGCTCCTGGCTGGGGGGCTTGGCCCACCACCCAGTTCTCTGCGGCTCAGAGGTGTGGGAGTTTTGTGTGTTTGTTTTACCTTTTTAAATTGAAACAAAAACACAAGAATACTGTTTCATGACATCAGAAAATGATATGAAAGTTCAGCGTCCCTACGTAAAGTTTTATGGGGACACAGCCCTGCCTTCTGGTTTTCAACCCAGCACTGAGCTGTTACAACAGAGGCCACACACCTGCAGAGCCGAAAGGTTTTCCAACTGGCCCTTTGCTGAAGTCGGCCGTCCCTGCTGTAGGGTCTCAGCGTCCCTCAGCTGTGGGAGGGCACTGGCTTTCTGGTCAGTGACAAGGCACTTGACAGTCTCAGACACTAGCAAGAGTCTGGGGTCCCTCAGCCCAGCAGCCCCTTGGGGAACTTGGAATGGTGTCCGTGGGCCTTGCAGAGAACCCCTTCCCCCACATACATTGACACCAGGCAGGAGCTTTAGACACCACACCCCACCTGCCCCCATTGGGTGTGGCTTCACTTCCAGACACACTGGGCTGTGCCGCTTTCTCGCTCAGACGTGTCCACAGGTGTTTGCAGGGGTCCCGTGACCGCAGGTTACCCACACCCTATCCTCAGGAAACTGGGCTCAGCTGCGCAGTACGACCAGCTGGGGTTACAAAAACGGGAGGGGGGGACGGAGGAAGGTCTCCCTTTTGAAGGGAGTTGGGCTGTCAGCTCTCAGAAACAGTGGGCGGGGACCTCCATATCCAGCCCTCCCCGGGGTGACCTTGGCCTGGAGCTGATGTTTCCGGGTCAGGCATAGAGGCCTCCGGGGCTCTCTCTGGTCCTCTCACGAGGGCGGGGGACGCCCCGGGAGCCTTCCCACCTCCAACCTGGGCACCTGGATCTCCATCCTGGGACTTCCCTGAGCTCCTCCTGAGGGCCCCGCCACAGGTGCCCGGACAGTGCCCAGGGGACTCGTGCCCTGCTCTGTCATAGGTCCGGGAGCCACAGGTCCTGGGCACACACCTGGTGCCAGGCCTAAGGCCAGTGTGGCTCCATGGCCACGGCCTCAGCTCCATCTGTGGACTCGCAGGATTAGGCTGGACAGTTCCGATGTCCCCCCAGGAATGTTTCTGCTGGGACCAGGTGGCTCATAAGGACCAAGAGAAGGCCTAGCCTAAGGCCTGGCTTCTTAGTGAGCTGCTGCAATGGGGCACCTGTGGGCTCTTGCTGGTAAAATCCCTCAAGAGCAAGATTTGTCTCCAAATTAAGGGCTTGGGCCACTGCCCACTGCTTCCTGAAGGTGCTTGCGCCTCTCAGGTTTGCCCCAGGCCTGCATGTCGCCTCCATCCACCAGGGCCCCACCAGTCCCCGCTGACCCAGAGCATGGGGTCCAAGGGGGTCTTGTCCCAAACAGTCAGATGGGGGCCAGAGTCATCTGAGCTTGTGGAGGCTCTGTGAACCCCTTGTTCACATGGTCACTCACCAGGGGGTCCCTGCCCCTCAGGGACAAGAGGAAGCCAGAGCTGTGACACCTGGCCTTTCCAGAGACTGGCCGAACCCCTCCCCTTTGCAGAGTCCGGGGTTGGAGCCAGAACTTGCAGGAGCTAGCTGCCATTCCAGGTAGAAATGGAGCGATTCCAATAAAGCACACGCTTCCGTCAGGCCTCATGATCTTCAGTACTGTCCTTCTCTCCTGCCCACAGAGACAGTGTTAGCTTGTGACTTGTGCCCATGGGACCTCTGGCAGGGGTGCACCTTGCTCCACACGTGTAAGACACCTCCCAGCCCCCTTACATGGCACTCGCCATGGGCACCTGCCCCACCAATTGGTGAGGTCAGAGGTGAGCAGGGCCTAGTCAGCCGCATCGTGATCAGCACGGGGTCTTGGGGGAGCCCCTCTCTTGCCACCCCTGGGGCCAAGCAGAAAGTAGGGCCAGGGCACAAAGGCAGACACACAGCCTGCCTGGCTCGGGGGCAAGGGAGTGCCGTCTGCCCGTCTGCCTTCTCCCCACTCCCTGGCCTCTGTCCCTCCTCCACAATGAGGAGTGTTGCCCTTCGTGCCACATGGAGGGACAGCCCCCACGGGAGACCAGGGAGGTGTGCCGGGGCACCCATGCCAGCATCCTCCCTGTCCCTGCCCAGGCCTCTCTGGAGTGCTGGCCGTAGGGTTGCAGCAGGAAGGCTGGGAGGGCTCTGCACTGCGCTTCTTTTCTGAGGTCAAAAATAACATCATTTCACCTGCTTTCTCCTCCCCTGTCCTGAACCTCACAGAGATCCCCGTGGCACCGCCGACCACGGCAGCCAGCAGCGTGGAGGAGCCCGAAGGTAGGCTTTCCCTTCCTGCTCATTTCTCACTTCACAAGGGGTGTGGCAGAAAGGGGAGGCGGACCGGAAGGGCTGGAATCCTCTGAACCACCCTCAGGGTGCTACTTGAGTGGTGCCCCAGGCTGGACTGAGCAGGATGGAGCCACAGGGCACTTTTCTGTGAGGACCCCTGCAAGAATGAAAGATGGGGGTGTGTGAATGCCTGCAGGCTCACGTCCCTCCCAAGCCCCAGGCTCCCAGAGCTGCTCTTCCAGCTCATGCACCAAAGGTAAGAAGCTGCCTGCAGGCCCAACACCAGAAATCAGGGCGGGGGTGGGCAGGGAGAGAATGACACCTTCACTGTTGCTCACCTCCCACTGAAAGGGGGCACTTCTTCCGTTGCAAAGGTGGCCACAAACCACAGCAGGGCCAGCTGCACCCAGGCCTGGCCACCTGCAGAAATCACAGCTATTGTCACATCTCGTTGGAGCTGGGGCAGACAGCATGAACCCGTGTCTGTTCACCATTGCTCCACAGTTTGCTCTAGAAGCCACCAGACCTGCTGCTACGTCCTAATTTAGAATCATTAGTAAAGAGCGAGCACCTTATGGAACTGCGCCGTAAATCTTAGTTTTTGAACATATTTGGGTAAGCGTATTTTAGTATATTAGTTTCCTTTGTAATGCCAACGAAAGAATGTCCAGCCTAAGAAAAAGTGTTAGAAGAGTTTATTCGAACCAAACTGACAACAAATTGCTGGGAGGCAAAAGTCGGAGCTCTGGAGAAGGGCAGCTCCTCAGCTCGTCTTACCTGTTAGAATGGAAGGGGGGGCTGCGGCGAGGGCTCCCTGAACCCTGTGGTGGGACTGAAAAGTGAGACAGAGAGACACGTACTTCTGTTACATTGGTGGATGCAGGCTGGTGGGTAATGGACATGCACAGCACCTGGAGGGGAGGAAGGACAGGACAGTGAGGGGTGCTGCCTCGAGTGGGGTGAGTGGGTCCTGCGGGTCTGGAAAAGGGGAGCACTCGGGCCATTTAAAGGGACATTACCTTAGATAGAAAGATCCAGTGGACAGGCTCCCCTGTGGTAAAGACCGATCTTCACCGAGGAAGCTGCCGCTCTGGGAGGGACTCCCTGCCCGACCCGCGGTTCCTGGGCAGTCGTGTGTTCGTTTGGATCGTCCCACGTGGTTGCGTTTGGCCCGAGCTTGTGAGGCCCACCCCGCAGGCGGTCAGGTCCAGTGTGTGGTCTCTTTTTCATCCACAGTAGTTCTGTGTATTTTATTTAATTAAAAATTTTTTATCCTCACCTGAGGACATTCTTTTAGAGAGGGAGGGAGAGAGACAGACAGATGAGATACATCAGTGTGAAAGAAAAATGCCAATTGTTTGCTTTCTTGTACTTGTCCCAACAGGGGATCGAACCTGCATCCTGGGTTTGGGCCCTGAGGGGGAATCGACTCCATGACCTTTCAGACTGTGGGATGGTGCTCCAACCAACGGAGCCACACCAGCCAGGGCCCTATGCATTTTAATTTTGTATTTAAAGATATTACTGTGAGAAAGAGTTTGTGGGTGTCACCCAGTCCTTGGCACAAGAAAGGTTTTGTGGGGCTCAGAGCCTGGCTGGGTGGGGCACCCCGTGGAGAGCAGGCCAGGCTTGTACCCAGTGACCTGGTTTTAGGGTCCCACAGGCCTTGTGCACTAGCACTTGGAGCAGGAGCAGGAATGGGGGGCAGGAAGAGCGACACTGGTCCCAGCAGACGGCAGTGCCGGCTCTCGGGACCCCTTTCCTCCTCTCCAGGGAGGCCTGCGGGGAGGTGCGGGGGAGGCCTCCACACCCTTCAGCTGCCCGACTGTATTAGAATGAAGACCGAACTTTCTGAGTATCGGTAGCAACTGGGAACTTGAGAGGAGACAGATTTCAAACTTGCATAAATGCACTGTCTACAAAGAGCCCCAGATAGGAAAGGACAGGGACGCCTCCCAGGGGTGCCGAGGCCGCACGGGGGAAACCCCGAGGTATTCTGGTCTTGGGTCGTGGGGTAGAGTCTTCAGCCACCTTTGGTTGAGCTACAAGGGACGTTGGAGGAGAAATGGTGCTGGAGGAGGCCACCTCACACGTACCTGGGAGGTGGGGTGACAGAGGTCAGTGTGGGGGACGAGGAAGCTCTTCCGGGAAAAACACAATTCAAAGGAACGTGCCCAGTTCAGCTGTAGGGTAGAGCGGTTTTGAAGTGAGAAGACACTTCCATTTCAGGGAGTCCTGACTTTTGCTTCCTTGAGCTGACATCAGTCTCGTCAGAACTCACCTGGACGAGCTCCTCGGCTCCGGTGCCCTGGCTCGCCCGGGCCCAGGCAAATCTTCCTCATCGCTCTCCTGTGTCTTTTTCCAGTCCTTTCAACTCGGCTTCGGATTTCTTGCAGGGGGTTTTGGCTGTTTCGCTGTGAATCAGAAATGGCAGTTGGAAAAAAATTGTGGGGAAAAGAAAAACAATCATGAGATTTCTGTACAGGCCACAGGAAGCTGGCATAAAGCATGTGACGGTCCCGGTTCAACCAGACAGAGGGGTCCCGAGGGAGTGCTTACTGGTGACACTTGCAGCCTCCTGCTCCAACAGGCCGGTTGGTAGCCGTTCTTGGTTCGCTGATTAACTTTTCTGACTCCCTTTGGGTTTGTTACTGTTTCTTTCCTTTCTTCCTTCTGAACCTTTAAAAACATGGTTTAAATGGAAGCAAGTAGTAAACAAACCCTTACAAAGCACTTTGCTCACAGAAGGGGTTAACCCCGCAGGTGCGATGCTTATAGCTTTGACCAGAGCCTTTCCGACCTTCTCTGGTGGCCCGTGGGTGCCCGGACCTCTGGGACCTCTGACGCTCACACCCGAGAACGAAGGCCATGGCTGGGCCTCAAGCACCGGACCCTGGGCCTGCCGCCACACGGCTCGCCCCGTCTCAGTAGGCGGGACAATGCGGGCAGGGGGCCAGGGGGCCCCCTGGGAAGCCAGGCTTGGGAGTGCAGCACTTGCAAGCCTGTCAATTCTTGCAGTGTTTGAATAGGGGAGGCCTCTGTGCCAGGGTGCCTGAGAAAAGCTTATTTACTTTTGCCTGCATAACAGAGGAGAATTAATAAACCGAGAATTTGTCCTGAAAGCTGACGGACATAACCTCGCCCTGAACCCATCCCCTTGAAGGGCCAGCTCACTTAGGGAATGCGGTCCACCTGCTGTTGGAGCTGGCTGGAGCCCCGTCCTGGGGCGGGAGGCAAGGCCCGCCATGCCCGTGGGAGGTCTGGGGCCAGGGGCCCCGGAGGGGGACCGGCTTGAAGGCAGTAAATAGGGACCACCCACTCCAAACCCACCCAGTTCTGGCTGTAGAGACCTCCAACTTCTGGGCTAAAAGAGGGTCCCCTGCTTCCCATCAGCTCTGGTAGTTGTGGGTTGCACGTTGTTTGGGTTTGTGGAGGCCCCTGGGTTCAGTGGCTTGAGCCCCAGTGTGGACCAGGGGGTCTGGGATCGATTCTCTCCTGACTTGAGGCCTTCAACATGCAAAGGCTTCTCCTTGCTGCCTCTGCCCCTGGGGGCTGGGGGCATGGATTCCTTGCCCTGCTTTTCAGGGTAGGAATGACCTTCCTCCTCACCTCTGCCCTCTGTAAGCCGTCTTCCTCTTTAGGAGTGCCTGCCCGCTGCCCTCCGCCTCTGATGCCCAGTTTCTCCCACAGTCCTTTGCGGGGTCTCCAGGGGCAGAGGCGCTGGTGGGAATACCTGGCTGGCATGGTGTCTGGCATTTGCCACCTTCCGTGGTGTAAACACTCCCTTGTGGCTGGTTTCAGACACCCCATCTGATGTCGCCGAAGGCAGGGTTGGGAAGAGATGCATGTGATTGGCTCTCAGAGCCCCTGTGAGCTGATTCCACCCATAGCACCCCTGGATTTCCCTGAAAATGGGGTGTAGGCATAGGAACATGGGAATACAGGGGAGGAAGGGCTTCTCTCAGCAGGGCCACAGGCTGTTGGTCTTCCACTGGATTCCCTGGTGCCAGGGAGCTCGGCCCTCTTTAGAGTGGCAGCCTGACTCAGGATGGAGGGGTGAGAGCAGGGAGCCAGCTCCTGGGATGTACCTCTCAGCCGGGCCTTGGGTCCTCTCTCTAGGTCCTGTCTGCTGTGGCACCCACCCCGTTTGGGGCCCTTGTGGTGCCTTCTGCCACCTGTGGCCACTGCCTGGGGGTGGGGGGACCTTACAGATGTCACACCTGATGGCTTCTCAGCACCTTTGTTTTTTCATGGAAGATAATTGGGTTTATATAGACTTGTAACCTGGTTAAGCTTGAATTATTCTCTATTTAGACTCTTGTTTTCCAGAATAGGGAAGAGGTGGGTGATTACAAAAAAACGAGCCAACGAGACTGGCGTGCAGCATCAGCCAGGTGCTGGGGGAGGGCTGGGGAGAGGAGAGGACACTGAGCCAGGAGCCGGAGGCCTGAGCTCTGCCTCCTCTTGTCCCTCCTCTGTACAGCAGGGCGATGATGACCCTGCCTCATAGGGTTGTTACGGGATGGAAGGGGACGATCCAGATAAAGCTTTCAGTTCAGTGATGGCTCATCATAAATGCTCAGTGAAAAACCAGTGGACCTGCATGGAAAACACAAACACCGCAGGGCACCGAGGGTTGGAGCTGAGTTAAGGTCTCTGTCAGCCCCTGGCTGGGAAGGTGGCATTGGCAGCGGGAGGTGTCGGCATGAGGACAAGTGTGCAGGGTGGAGACGGACAGCTCTGAGGAGACCCTGGCAGGGGACAGGGGGCTGCCCGAGGCCAGGGCGGCTGAGGGAACTATATTGTGGCCTTGTCACTGCCTTCCCAGAAGCTGATGTGAGACCCTGAACCCAGCAGAGAGTTGAAGGCTAGAAATCAATGAAAGGTCAAGGGCTTGACTTCACATCACGATAGCCGAAAGGTGGAAACAGCTGCAACACCCATTGGTGGAGGAATGGATAAACACAGTGTGCCGTGTTCGTGCAACG